ATATGGCTGGTTCAGAAAATGATTTGGCGGGGCACCTGGGTGGCTCAGTCAGTTAGGTATCCGACTTTGGCTCAGGTCCTGTCACTGTTCGTGGGTTCGGGCCCCACATCGGGCTCTGTGCTGACAGCCAGATCTGAGATCTGGAGGCTGCTTCGGATTCTGTGTCTCCCTCTCTCTCTGACTCTCCCCTGCTCACGCTGTCTCTCTCTCTCAGAAATAAATAAAATATTAAAAAAAAAAAAGAAAGAAAGAAAACGGTTTGGCAGTTTCTTACCAAGTTAAACATATAGTTGCCAAATGACCTAGCAGTACTACTTCTTGAGTATTTACTGTAGAGAAATGAGTGGATAAACTGTACAGCAATGATATGGAATGAGGTACTGATACAACAATACAGATGAATCTCAAAGGCCTTATGCTGAGTGAAAGAAGACCTAGTCTCAAAAGGTTATATAATGTTTCGAATTATCTGGCACTGCCTAAAGGACAAAGCTATCTGCACACCCTGTCCCCAAGGTTTTGCCTTTGTCATGAATTCATCCGGTGGTTATATGCATGTATGATAGAAGGAAGGTATCTATGTATTTCCTTTTTCTTATGAGGACAAATAGTTCTCCTAGTCTTATTGTATAGTACATTCTTCTACCACTGAATTTTTTTCCTTTTTTTTTTTTATGTTTTATTTATTTCTAGGAGAGAGAGAGAGACAGCGTGAGCAGGGGAGGGTCAGAGAGAGAGGGAGTCACAGACTGAAACAGGCTCCAGGCTCTGAGCCGGCAGTCAGCACAGGGCCCGACGCGGGGCTCGGACCCACGAACCGCGAGATCATGACCTGAGCGAAAGTCGGACGCTTAACCGACTAAGCCACCCAGGCGCCCCGACCACTGAATTTTTTTCTATTGAAATATATTTGACATATAATATTATGTAAGTTTAAGGTATACAACATGTTGATTTGATGTTTATATACTATAATATGATTGCCATTGTAATAATTAGCATCTCTAGGTCACATACTTCTTTCTTGTGGATGGAATACCCCCACTCATTTTAATGCCACACCTATTGTGTGTGTGTGTGTGTGTGTGTGTGTGTGTGTGTGTTTCCCATCAATGTATGGGTAGGTTTCTGAGCTCTTTATTCTACCTCTAGGTCTTTTTATTTATCTATCTCCACAACAATACCACGCTGCCTATACTGTTCATAGTTGTAAAATACACCCTTATTATCTGATATAGCAAGTTACCCTTTACTTCTTCAAAACTGTTCACCTATTCTTACCTTTCTCTTCAACCTAATTCATCCTTCTCTCCAACCAAATGGACCTCCAGAGTACTCTAGATCAAACTGCTAGCTATTAATTTTAATTCAAACCTTTGATAAATGTCTGAGTCGGAATACTACCTTATATTCTTTTGGTCAACAGAACAAGTATTATTCCCATATTATCAATGAGGAAATGGAAGGAGCCAAGCTAGTACCAGAAATAGAATTTCTGATCCTGAGTTAAGTCCTCCCCTCAGGAGCCAAGGTGGGTCCTCGGACTCTGTTTACTGCTAGCTATGTAAAAACCACCTGTCTCCCTGGGTGGAAAAACAAAGCAAATTCCCTGACCCTGCTTCCAAGGAAACTTCCAAGATATTACAAAAACTGCATTATCACGCCAGCAATAGAAAATAAGTCAGTCTGTAAGTGAAGAAAAGATGAAAACAACAACAAAAAACCCCCACAAATTTTCAGCTATTTTCCCTTATAATTAATAAAAGCCTAGCATCCATTTTAATTAGGCATCACAGTTAATTATAAACCAATTAATGTTTACTAACAAGTTTTCTGAAATTACAATTAACATCCACTTTAAAAAATCTTCTCTAGGTTGCATAATGAAATACTGTCAAAATGAGCTCTAGCTAAAATATGTTTTAGAACTACAAAAATATACCTATTCAGAGAAGGGAATTATAAACAACAGATGATTGAAAGCACCATTTTATTAACACTTTAGAAAAATAGTGACACAGAGTTCCTAAGAAGCTGCATGTTCATTTCCTGTATGTGAAACAACAGAAGTTTAAAATAGTTTATAACATGCATTTACTTTGCCAACTTTTTAGAAAATCACTGTGCTTTCTCCCCCTCTTTTGGGTGGTAAGTGGAGTGGGAAGAAGACTGTTTTCCAAACTTTCTAACAAGTTTCAAATATTTAAAAATAGACTCCAGTAAAAGGGAGTATTTTCAATTTATCTATCTTTATAGTATCTGTCATGACTGGTCATGTGCACTTATATTACTTTTCATAGTTAGGCCCAATTTACAGGTGAAGTTTTTCTCAAGTGGGTTTGTCCATGCCTGCATAGCGACATTCTCGCCCACTTTGCCACCCAAAGATACTGGCAGACTCCTAGCAGAGGTTTCAGAACATTCTGCTGCTGATAAAAGAGAAACCACCACCCACTCAAGATACTAACTGCCAGCTGTTCAGTTTTACATTTTGGTTAAGAAAAATTTAAAGAAATTCAAGTCACTCTTCTTTTTTATCCACAAATCCACTATCCCATAGCTGGGCCTACACAGAAACATCGTGACTACTGATACACCATAAATCTGTCTTTAAATATATTTTTTTAATGTTTGCTTATTTTTGAGAAAGAGAGAGAGAGAGAGAGAGAAAGAGAGGAAGAGAGAGAGACTGTGTGCATATGCAAGCGGGGCAGGGGCAGAGAGAGAGGGGGACAGAGGATCCAGAGTGGGCTCTGTGCTGACAACAGTGAGCCTACATGGGGCTCGACCTCATGAACCGTGAAATCATGAGCTGAGCTCAAGTGGGACACTCAACCACCCAGGTGCTTCTGTTTTTAAATATTAACTACCTAGTTTAAATTTTATTGGATTGTTCAGGCATACTAACTGTATTAATTAGTATATACTATTAACAGACACATACAGAACCAGAAAAATAAAAAAGCATAGTTACGGCTTCCTTAGAAACTCTTAATCTAAAGAAATCAAGAAAGAATTATGTGAATTACATATAAAGAAAAGCATCTTTTATAGACAATGTATTTCTGTATTTGAAAGCATAGAAAATTTTTACGGTCTTGGAAAATGATGGAATGAACATGTTTGGAGCTTTACGAAAAAGATAAATTTTTTAAAAAATGTTCATTTTGAGAGAGAGATAGAGAGCAAGCAGGGGAAGGGCAGAGAGAGAGGGAGACAGAGAATCCCAACCAGGCTCTGCAATACCAGTGCAGAGCCTGACACAGGGCTGGAACTCACAAACAGCGAGGTCATGCCCTGAGCTGAAATCAAGAGTCCAACGCTTAACCAACTGAGCCACCCAGGTGCCCCTGAAGAAGATAAAATTTTAAAATAGGAAGAACAGGATTTAGAAGGACATAGGAGAATTTTTTTTTTTACCTTAGAATTGTAGCTAAGTATAAGTTGCATAAACATGGAGGTTCAAACAGATATGACAAGTAAAGGAACTAACCTTATCTAAACTGGTTATTTATAACTTATGGGCCAAGAAGTCATTGGAATTTACATGGATGTACACATACCCAGTACAATCTGTAGTCTAAAATAATTTGCTCACACACATATTTCCCTAGTTCTCAAATATAGACAGATACTAGTGAAATAAAATAGGAAATCATTTAAGAGGATAGTTTTTTTCCATTATGCATAATCTCAATCAACAAATACTAAAAGTATAATTTCTCATATTCAAAACAGGTCAGGGCCTTTTACATACAAGGTTCCTTCTGGCTTTTTAAGGGCACTAAGTACTCCTATCATTAATCTTTAGAACTTGTACTTACAGGTAAACAAATTGTATTTACAAGTATACGTATTTACAAATGTATACACACATGATGCCTGCTATGTGCATCCAAATCATGCCTGCGAGGCCCCCAGGCACTGGACTAGTTTTTGATGAATAAGATGAATAAGACAGGATTCCAGACTCAAGCTCAAATTGATAGAGACAGATACATGAACACATAATACAACCTAATAAACACTGCAGAGCTGTTTCAAGTGCTCTGGGAGCACAATGGTATTATTGATGTCACCTGGGAGAGTATGAGAAAACAAGGATCTAGGAATTGGGTCTTGACAGGTGGGGCATGGGGTGGAGAGGAAGAATTAGCATTCTAGACGGATGGTAGAGCACACACAAAGGCACAGAGTTGTGAAAGTGCATGACATGTTTGGGGAAAAACAGTTCTCTGGTATGACTGGACATTAAGGTATTTGGAGAAGAGACGAAAAAGGTAAAACGAATTGCGATAGACAGTAAAAGGCCCTAAATGATGTGCTTCACAATTAAGACTTAATTCCATCGGCAACATGGTTACTGAAAAAGTTGAAGGAAAGGACATAAACAGATTTCAGAGCGATAACTCTCTGGAAGCATGAAGGTGGCGAAACTGGTGGGGGAGGGTGGGTAGCTGCAATAATTCTGGTGGAAGAAATAATACAGTCCAGGGCAAGTGGAAATACAGAATCAAGGATGAAGGTCTCTAGTTTGGGCAGTGGCATGGATACTGGTACCATTATGAGCGATGGGGTACATAAGAAAGGAAGAAAACCAGGAAAAGAGTAGTAGTCCTGAAAGGGCGGTTTTCCCAGAGACAAAAAATGGTTATAGGCACGAAATACTCTGCAAAGCGGTAAAGTCAAAACCGAAAGGGTCCCCCTTCCCTCCTTAGCTCCCAGGTGGGTTTAGGCAGGAAGAAAAAAGAGACGAAAGATGCGCCCACACAGGGTTAGGGCCAAAGCTTCAAGAAACTTTCCGCACCTCAGACCCGGAAAGGGGAGCTCACAACTGAGGCCGGGTAAAAGGAAGCCTCAAGGGGCGGGTCACCAGCGCAGGGAAACGGCTAGGGCCAGGTGGCAGGCAGCTCAAGAGGGGCGAAGGACCAGGGCGGCCCCGGGAAAGGAAACTTCCAACTCCGTGTGCCCGTTCTTGTCCCTGGATTTATTCCACTTACTCTGGTCTCAATCCCTCGCAGCCGTCAACTGTGGCGTTAGGACTCAAAGCCTCTGCTAACAGGGACCTACGCACCCAAGGGAAGAGACTCCTCTCGTCTGTTCAGCTTCTTCACCGAGCAGACTCGAGACCATCAGCGGAGAGGCGGCTGGAAGTGTCAGCGAAGCTCAGCCCCATCCCTGGCCGGAGGCAAACCTCCGCTGGCCGCCTCGGACTAGCAAGCTCATAGTCCTCAAACCTCGCGAGATTTCCTTCCTCACGTTATGGTGGGGGCCGAGCCAGAGATTTACTTGCGGCTTCTTGCAGACATGCGCGAAAGGTGGGGGCGGCTCCCTTCTACGTCCCTCCCCATTAATCTAGTCAGGCTTTCACTTGGCTTCTCGCAAAGTGTCGCGAGTCTTGACAGGGGAGGCCGGCCTGGGTGGAGAAACCGAGAAAGGGAGGCCGGGTGGGAAGGCGGGCCTTGCGCTAAGGGAGCGTGGCTGGCTTAGGCGGTGCTGTGGTTGGTACTTCGCTGTTGGGGAGGCTCTGAGGTCGCCCGGATCAATCTTCCCAATGGGTTATTGGGAAAATTAGCGGGTAGAAAATCTTGGGGGTCGGAGGCATTTTTTTCTTGGCTCCGCCCTCTTCCTGTTCTGCGAGCCGGGCGGCTGGCCCACCGAGGGGGAAGGGCAGCTTGGCGGGGCTGTGGAAGAGGGCTTTGCGCACGCGCGAGTCCGAGTGTGTGAGTGTTTGTGTTCACGCGCACGCGCGCGCGCTCCTGCATTTAGGAAGCCTGGGAAGGACCGGTGTGCTAGGAGATGAGCGGGGAAAGCATAGTTCCCTGTCTTTGGTACCAGGCACTCCTGACTGTGCGCTGACCCTCCCCACCCAGCCAGCAGCCTTTTCCAGAGAGGCTGTGGTCCATAGCCTCTGTTCGTTTTCACTGCAGGACCAGGCACGAAAGTAAGCAAACCTCGATCCTGAGGTCTTCCCTATTCACTCACCTTGTACTTTCCACCCCCCCCCCCCACCCTCCAGCAGAGTGTGACTAGGTTTCTCAAGAGTTTGCATGAAAGGGAAATGCGTTTGAAAGCAGAGGAAAATAGCTAGATCGTAAAAAAGTCAGTTCGTTTTGATGAACACTTTTGCTCTGCTTACCATGTGCTTTTTGAATGTGGATTGTCTATTCAGTATAAGGTTTTATTAGCGAAGCAAGGGAGTTTTAATAAGAAAAAGTTTAAAAGTTTCTCCTTCCCAGCTTTGTGAATGGTAGCAACTAAGATTTTCTGTTCTACATGGTAAACGACAGTGGTGTTTCAAAAGCCAAGGGGGAAGAGTGTGAATTTGGGTCCTTATCCTAATGTAAAGACCCGATATGCAGTTGTCTTAGGAGATGTTTTTTATATTTGGGGCTTTCCTTCTGCTGTCACTCCTCTTTCCTGTTAATTCTGGCTCACCTCAGCCTTTTTCGGAAGTCTTGAGACTTTTTGGAGCGAAGCCCAAAACTACCGACTTGGGTTAGTTTGGGGGGTTGTATGTGATTGATGTCAATTAGCAAGAATCATCAGAAGCGTATTTGGAGAGTGTTAATCATTTGTTACGTTTGGTATAATGGGAGGTAATCAAGTACGGTTATTTGTAAGCATTTTATCCTGACAGTCTTAAGTTCATTCAAAAAGCCAAAATTTGTATGGCCTATGACTGATAGAGTGACAGCTTAATATGGGGTAGCTTATCCCTCGAATTGATAGTTAACTTTCTGGTCATGACCTCATTAAATCTTATCCTTTGTTGGATAAATTTCTTGGATTATTCATGTTCCCTACCAAAATTTTTTGAGGAAAAGACATTAATTGGCAACAATTTAAGGATATTAAATGTCATGTATAAGACCTTTGGCTAATATATTTTATCCCTTACAGGTTAAAACAAAATGAAGATTTTTTCTGAATCTCATAAAACAGTATTTGTTGTAGATCACTGCCCTTACATGGCAGAATCATGCAGACAACATGTCGAGTTTGATATGCTGGTGAAGAATAGGACCCAAGGAATCATCCCTTTGGCCCCCATCTCTAAATCCTTGTGGACTTGCTCAGTAGAATCTTCTATGGAGTATTGTAGAATAATGTATGATATATTTCCTTTCAAAAAACTGGTGAGTGTGAAGTACAAGAAAAATGATTTGGGGGGATGGATTTAACTGCCTGTTACATTTTTTTACGTAAGAATTTACTATAGATTTGACTTAAAACTGTATACTTCTTTTAAAAATGTGGTATTTAGAACTCTTCTTCGGGATTAATATGTATATGTAATTGGGGCCAATAATAACAGCTAACAGTTAATGGCGCATTTACACATACCAGTCATTTCCAAAGTGCTTCATATTTATGAAATCCATTAATCCTCACAACAGTCCTAGAAGGTAGCTACTCTAATTACTGGGACAATATTCAAAGTATATAATAACCCGAATAGAACAGGCACTGACCACTGAGAACTGTTGCTGGCCTAAGCAGAAGGGATGTGGGCTGTGAGCAATGTCAGATGTGTTGGTATGTACCATCTGAATATCAGCCTTGTTTATTATTGCCAGTTGGAGATGTAGAAACTGAGGTGAAGACAGGAAAGTTGTCCTGAGTCACACAGCTAGTTAGACACAGAACCAGAATTTGAAGCTAAACAGGCTGGCCACTTACAGTGTTTGTGAATACACGCTAAACTGCTGCAGGATTTGGCTATTAGAAAGAAATGCTGTTAAGAATGCTAAGCAGAATTTGTTTTTATCTACAAGAAGAGAGATTGAGGATTGATAGATTCCAAATATGAAAATTACCTTCAGATTTCATCATTTCAGCTATTTTATTTTGGGAGAGTCATTTGGTTAGCCACAAGTGGATGCTTTGCTTTGTCTGATTTGGAGCAGCCTGGTCTGGGACCTAGCCATTTCTTAGACTGGCACAGGCAGGGCATTAACAGTAAGCCTGAACATAAAGAATCTATATATTCATATATATTCCAAGTTAAATATAAGCCGTTTTTAGTCCCTCTGTAAATTGTGCATTTTGTAAGGTAAAAAAAAATATGAAAGGAAGGTTAACTTGTCTTTTAGGGTGCAGGCTTTGGTTCAAATTCTGGCCTCATTAGCTACCACAGTGTGACCTTGATCATATTGCTTAATTTCTCCAAGCCTGGTTCTTCCCATGTAAGCATAACACCTACTTCCTATGATGTAAGATTTCAATGAGATAGTGTAACCGAAGTGGCTAGTAAAATATGTCCCTGTCAGGTAAGGCTTAGGAGAGAAGGATCCTTATCAAATTTCTTAGGGGTGCAAAACTAGTTATTTCATGGATAGTAGGAAAAAAGATCATGGATTAGATCATATAGTCCAGAGGAAAGAAATAATTTCACCCTCTTTCAAAAGAGAACATTCGTCATTTTATATATTTTCTAATATATCCTTACCAGCATTATCATCTTCCTTGATAGTGTTTTTTTTTGTTTGCATTTTACTTTAGAATAAAGTCCAAATGCACTGTTTTGACTTTCAGTGCCTTTTGTGATATGGCTACTGCCTGTTTCTCTGAGTTTTTCTCCCATCCCTTTGCCTGTTCTGACCTTTTCATCCTTTTGAGGCCTTTGCATTTGCTGTACCAGGAATTCTCTATCCCTAGATCTATTTATGGGTGGTTTCTTTTGGTCATTTTGGATTCCCCTCAACTGCCACTTCTATAGAGAGCCCTTCTCTGACCACCCAGCCTAAAGTAGCTAACCAGTTTCTTTTTTCATAGCATTTATCTCTCACTGAAATCATCTTGTGCATGTATTTGTTTATATTCTTCCTGCCCTCTGTCTTCCCACTACCCCCCAAACCCCTGGCTTTCCCCACATTGTGAGTGCTGCAACTTTTATTCATCACTATATTCCCAAATCTCCAGTGCCAAAGATAGCACCTGGCAGATACTAGGCGTTCTAGAATCATAAAGTGAATGAATGAATCAGCAAACCAGTGCTAGGGACTGCATTTTATTTTAAATATGATGTGATTTCAGTGGAATTGGATGTGAATACTAATTCTGTCTTTGAAATCTATCAGGTGAATTTCATTGTGAGTGACTCTGGAGCACATGTTTTAAATTCTTGGACTCAAGAAGACCAAAATTTGCAGGAGGTATGGTTAGGTTTTGAGCTGTGGCCATTTTTGAAAATTATCTGAATGTGGTAATACTTTCTTGAAAAATGATTTAAAAGGATTTTTTTTTTATCACTATAGTATTTGCACATAGTTTTAAAACACCAACTGATACTAAATGGAAGCCAGCTATCTTCCTTCCAGTCTTTCCTGTTTCTGAAAGCAAACTTTCAACTCTAACTCATCTGGTATTTACTTCCATATTTCTAAATAACAAATTTTTATTGCTATGATAGAGTTCTCAATTTAAACTTTATTTTTTATCATTATTGTTAGTGAGGATTTAACTTTTATATTCTCTGCCACTCATGCCCCTACACCTCCCTTCTTCCCTTCATTTTCTCAATGTTGTTATATCAGAATTTTTGTTAATTCAAAATTGCGTATTTGCATTTTAATATCTACATAAAGTGTTACTGCTAAGTTTAAGTAGTATATGTAGTCACTTCCTTTCTCTCTGCCTCTCTTTTTTAAGGTTTTATTGAGATGTGATACAGCACTGTTTAAGGTGTAAAACAATAATTTGTCGTACATATTACTTCCTTTCTTCTGTGACTCTGTTTTTTCCTGCAATGTATCATTTCCTTTTTTTTCTTAATTTGCTCAATTTTATGTATATCTGTTGCTGTTTTTCCTCATGTTTCTATAGAACTTCTCAATATTTTTATCATAAATGTATCAGAAATTTAGCAGCTTGGTTTTTTTGTCTTGCGAACTTTCTTGGAGCACACAGTCTTTTGCTTCAGTTTTAACTGGCTGCTTTATAGGTTTGGTGTTTTCTAAACATTATTTGTCCAAGAATATTGGGTTTGCGATATATTATGTTCTTTGCTTTGTTGAATTGGATGGAAGACTTCAGTTTACTGGTTTCTTTACTGATGAAGATGAGAGACAGATATTAGTAAAATTTTTGAATACATTGTTTGAATTATTTTATGTTAAAATTTTTTGGTTAATGGTCGGTCTTCAGTGGAAATAATCTCATCTAAATGTGTTTTAAATGAAACATTTTTAAAGAAAATGTGTTTATCCCAGTGTTTGTCTTAAACTGTTATGATGAGTACCATCG